GGGAATTAAGTCTAAGAAGAATGCTAGGATGTGGTAGACTGTGAGAATGAACATACCATTCTAAGGAATTTTCATTTCCTTCTGTTAATTAGAGCTAATTCTGGAGGAAGATGCTGCTGCTCCCAGTCTCTATACTGGGAGGTGACGAATAGAAGTATGAAGGAGTAAGAACCAGCCCAGCTGTTGCATAGCCTCTCATTTACTTAATTACCTTGATTAACGTCCTGCAACACACTCCTCTCCCCACACGTGCCACCTCTGAGTTTGTTTGATGCAGTGATTAGAAGCTCGTCCTGTATAATTAGATGACCTGGATTCGAAACCCTCCTTCCGTGTGATTTTCAGCATTTTACTCAGTTCTTCTATGTATCAACTTTCTCAATAACAAGATTTACTCTCTCATAAGATTGTGGTAATGATCAAGCAAGTTAATTTAGGTAAAACTTAGACAATCCCTGGTAAATAATAAGTAATACAAAAATGATAGAGATTATGAGCCTCTCACAGTCTTCGCGGGTAAGAACGCCTCCTGTCTCTGCTGAGGCTTCTCCCATCTGTTCTGGGCCATGGATTCTACTCTGGTTTGGCAAGATGATCTCGTGCAAATTCTATCTTTCAGAAATTCCATCAAAATCTACTCTACAGGTGTGCAAAGACTTCTTAGATATGATACCAAAACTACAAACAAAAGAAAAAGAAAAAATAGATAAATTGTATTTTATCAAAATTAAAATTTTTGTGCTTCAAAACATATCATCAAGAAAGGTAAAAAATAAACCCCAGAATGAGAAAAAATAATTGCAAATATTGTATCTGATAAAGGACTTATATCTAGAATATATAAAGAACTCTCACAACTCAATAATTCGAAAATGGGCAAAGGATCTGAATAGTCATATCCAAAGAAGATATACAAATGGCCAACAGGTGTATTAAAAGATGCTCAACATCATTAGACATTAGGAAAATGCAAATCAAGACCGCTATGCGATAATACCACTTCACGTCCACTAGGATGACTATAACAAAAAAGGCAGATAATGTTGGAGATGTTATGGAGAAATTGGAACTCACATGCATTGTTGGTGGGAATGGAAAATATTACAGCTGCTTTGGACACAGGTGGGCAGTTCCTCAAAATGTTAAACATAGAGTTACCATATGACCCAGCAATTTCATTCCTAAGTATTTATCCAAGAGAAATGAAAACCCATGTCCATACTAAAACCTACACATGAACGTAGACAGCAGCCTTATTCACAATAGCCAAAAAGTAGAAACAACCCCAAATGTCAATCAACTGACAGATGGATAAATAAAATATGGTATCCATACAATGAAATATTATTCGACAATAAAAAGAAACAAAACACTGATACATGCTACAGTATGGATGAACCTTGAAAATACTATGCTAAGTAAAAGAAATCAATCATCAAAAAACCATATGTTTAAATGTAATTTCAGAATAGGCAGATCTACAGAAATGGAAAGTAAGTTAGTGGTTGCAAAGGGCTAGGGTAGGGAAAGATTGAAGAGAAGTGGGGAGTGACTGCTAATATATACAGTATTCTTTTGGGGGTGATGAAAATGTTCTAAAATTTATTGTGATGGTTGCACAACTCTGTGAATATACTAAAAATCACTGAATTTCACACTTCAAATGGGTACATTTCATAGTATATGAATTATGTCTCAATAAAACTGCTTTTTAAAAATCTGACCCATGTAACATTTCACTTTCTCAGTGCTGTCATGGATTTATTCCTTTTGTGTGACTTTCTTACCATTTTGATGAGAGTTTGAAAGGGATAGTAAATGTGCTTTCTCGGTTCACTCTCAAGCTCCAGAGGGATTATTTTGAAAAAGAACTGCCCCAGAAAACATCAGGTACATAGAAGGGATGGAACTATGTACATCATACAGGAGATAGAAATGAGTTCATCCAAACAGAAAAACTCAAGTCATGTTGAAGGGATTTATGAAGACCAGCGTGGATTTTCATTTGTCTAAATTCTAAAGCGACTTAATGAGAAAACTTGTCTTCATGGCTCTACGCTCCTCAGACAGTGCGACATGGTTTTAAGAAGTTTTCTTCATAACGATAAGATTTCCGATCTCAGACCCAAAACTCTTGCAATTAGTGACATTACTGCACTCTCACATGCTGCCTCAATCCTTTATTATCTACTAACAAGTGGCGATCCCACCTCTATTTGAGCACTTACAATAGTTCACTATCTTATAAAACACCTCACTCTGTATTTGTACCACATTGTTGGCTGGAAAGTTCTTCCTTATATTGAAGCAAATTGAGTTTTTCTGTAACATTCACATATGTGGTCCTAAATAGACTTTTGTTTCTGTGCAAAATAGGCCTTGTATGACCTTTTCCATACAGCAGCCTTCTTGAAGGCAATTATTATGCACTTTTCAACATATACCCTCCAGGCCTAACATCGAAAGTCTCTTCCGTGGCTCTTTATGCAACAAGGTTTTAAGAAGCTCATTGCCATGTTGATTATTCTTAAACTCTCTGGTAGCCAAGCCAAGCTTGTTTTCACATCCATAAAATAAGGATGGGTGATATTGTCTATGGTCCTGAACTAGTAAAATGAATTTATGTATGTGAAAGTATTTTTAAAATTTAACACACTTTGTAAAATTAAATACTATTAAAATGGATCTGCTTCCTAGAAAACAACTTGGCAAAGCATTTTAGAAACATGCCACTCAAAACATGGTCTAAGGGCATACCTGGAATTTCTTGTAAGTTTGTTAGAAACAAAGTATCTCAGGTCCACCCCACATCTACGAAATCTCCACCTGCATTTTAACAAGATCTCCAAGTGTTTCATATGCCCATTAGAGTTTGAGGAGCACTGTAGACTTAAAAATGTGCAAATATTTTCACACAGAAATTTCTGCTTTAGGTATGTATCCTGAGAAAATGATTAGATAAGTATGGAAGAAATGTACATAAAGTACACAGCATTTTTATAATAGCAAAATCTTTGAAAGAACTTAAAGGTTTACTAATGGAAAATTGGCCAGGTGCTTTATGGGTCATTTGTGCATATGCTCAGGTATGCCAAGGACCAACAAACTTAGGAAACCATCAACTACACAAAATTCTTTTGGGAAGCTTGTTGGTCCTTGACGTACACCTAGGTACTATTTGCCAGCCAGGACTAACTCTGTAGAGCAAGCTTCTCAGCTGGTACTGGTGCCAAGAAGATGCCTGCTCCTTATCTGATGGATGCTGCTGTGGACATAGGTGTATTAGACATAACACATGTTTGGCACAGGAGGGCATTAATAACATAGGCTATATCTGGGGGAGAACCAGGCCACCTATCTCTGTCATCTCCCACGGATTCAGTTAACAAATTTGCTAGCATATCCAGGTATTTTGTTTTCTCTATATGATGGTCAGGTATAGTTATTTCCAACAGGGCTTCCACTGATACCATAACTAATTAGAGAAGAAATAGTGAAGATATAAGCTCGATAATTTTTCACAGGCTATTTGCAAAATTTGTGACCTGACTGTCAACAAAGTAGCTTGCTATTTTTTTCTTTTCGACTGAGAAATGTGTTCAGCTCTTCTGTTCCTTAGTAATTGATCATCACTTTTGTTGTGATCAGTTACTCTTGTCATAGAGTTGCTCTACCTATTAGACACAGAAAGCCTTTTATCATGACCAAATTCAGTCTGGGAAATTCCAGGGAATATGATGTTTCCTGAACACCTTATTTAACATTATAAAACAACACTTCACTCCTACACTCCAGAGCTTCCTTCCTTGCTTCGTTTTTCGCCATACCTCTCATTACCATCTACTGCTTATTTTATTCGATTCATTGATTATCTGGCTTCCTCCACTAGAAAGCAAGCTCCAGAAGGGCAGGGAGTTTTGTCTTTTGTTCATTACCTAGAAAGTTACAGCACTTAGAAAGTGGCATCTAGGAAGTCTTCAATAAATATTTGTTGAACGAATGTATATAAAACATCTCAGAGTCTTTAGAGCCACTGACCTTGTTGGGTTGGGGAATGGAGTCCTTTACCTCCATCATTTAGACTATGTCTAAGGTGTATAAGGGCTTTACAGTCTCCTAATTTAGTCTTCTAGTAAATGTTAATGCTAATAACCGAGATTGTAAGCAAAGGTAAATTATCCAGTTCTATATCAAACCAAAAAGAGGGCAGTGGATAGGAAGATCTTAGAAGTCCCACTAGGGTCATCCAAGCCAGCATACACACAAGCAGAAAAATCAAGGTAAGATACGGGTCTGCGCAGGGCGAGCAATCTAGGAACAGGTAACCACAGGACACTAGAACCCAGAAATCACCAAGTCTAAGAGAGCCAGGCCAGAACACAATCTGTCTTGTTCATCAGGCACAGTGCTATGCCAGAGTAATACCTACCATTTAGAAATGAATATTTGTTAGGTGGATAACTAAACCCTCTACTAAATGAAATCCATGCAACCGTGAAAAATGATGCTATATGTACAAAGGTATTTATATACTGGTAAGTGAAAAATCAAGTTGGCAATTAAATTTAGACTACGATTTCATTTTTGTTTGTGTATGTGTGTATATATGAATTAGGTGAAAGGATATACCAAAAAATATCAACAGTAGTTATTTCTGGGTGGTGAGATTAGCGGTAATTTTCACTTCTTTTTATTTATCTGTATTTGCTTATTTGTTAATGAACATTTATTACATCATTATAAAAAGGATTTTTAAACTATCTGTATGCTGTATGAATCTGTTGTTACTATAAAGACATTCCATTGTTAGTCTTGACCTCAGAGCATGAGTCTCTTGCTTGATTTTAGGATTCCTGACAGTCTTTGGTGTTCCAGGTGGCATAATGCTGAAGGAGTAAGAAGCTCCTCCCATTTCCCACAGCGCCTCCAACTCTTAAAAACACTTCTGACCGCCTCCTAGCATACACCCAGGGAAAAAACCATCCTGTCAAAGGGACGGTGCCAAAAGGCAGAAACAAAGGTAAGGATGACAGCTGAGGAAAGAAGCTGGAAAGAACAAGCTCAGAACTCTGACCGGAGATTTGGCTCACATCCTAGCATATTTTTTTATTAAATCGTTTGGCTTTGTTAAATGGGTTGCTTTTAAATATTAAACCAAGATGTTGTAAACAAGGTTTGCAGCAAAGTCCGCAAGACAACTTGGCTTTTCTGAAGGGGAAGAAGAGACTGGGATTTTTCTGGCATTTTATTCAATGAGTGCTCCTAATTAAATTACCGCTGCTGCAATGTTTAAAACCAATTACCTGATCATTCCATAAGGATTCTCTTACCTTTTGTCCCAGTTAAGCAGTATTGATCGATCAACTCCTTGGCAGAAGCCGATGGCAAAAAAGGTGGCAGTGATCGGAGCAGGGGTCAGTGGCCTGATCTCTCTGAAGTGCTGTGTGGACGAGGGCCTGGAGCCCACTTGCTTTGAGAGGACGGAAGATATCGGAGGGCTGTGGAGGTTCAAAGTAAGTGAGATTTTTTTATGTCTTGACAGGTTGTGCTACTATTTCAGGGTGACTCATAGCTATTGGTGGGCCTTTTTGAGGGACTTTTTAAAGCAACTTTGATCAGATTTTATTTTTATTTACTTATGCAGCCATGCAGGAACTGGAGTCTTAGGCTGGCTTCTCTCCCCAGGTCAATACCATCCCAACCCAGGTGGCCAACCAAGGTGTGGAAAGGACTACTTCTTTTGGATGCAGTAATTGTCCTGCAGCTCATATTTTTGTCATTCTCTAATATACTACTTAAAGAATATACAGATGTTAGAGAACATTGTGCAAAATAGAAGTAACATGGATTACTTTCAAGACGCCACTTCTGTTTCAATCATTGAGCCAAATGCTTCTTCAGAGAGTGTGCTCTCAGCACTACTAACTGTTTTTCCCTGAAAAATGAACCCTGTTTGTTTGCTAAGCTTTACTCATCAGTAACACTTCGGTATAACTGCTGTGAAACTCTTCATTAAATGTGTTTTATTAATTGAATTCATTCTATTAGTCAAACCCAAACATTGATAATGCTAGCTGTCCTTCACAATTTGCATAAAAATTACACATATACATAGATAGACAGCTATGAAGATTTATAATTATTCCTTCCCACAACCTTTGAGCGAGTACTGGCTTGCCACCTCCTACCCGTGAGATCTTGAGCAAGTCACTTACATCCCCGTGTCTCAGTTTAGTGAGTTACATGTGGGGATAATAATACAAAAGTACAATTATCTTATGGTGCTATTTTGAAGATTAAGGGAGGTCATTCATGTAAATAACTTAGAACAGTTCCTGGCTTATAATAGAGTTCAATAAATGTTAGCTACTAATAATAACTATATATTTTATACCTGAGCCAACAGAAAATGAGGGAAGTTAAGTGAGTTGGCTGTGATCACACAACTGGAGGAATTGGCATTCAAACCTAGGCATACATGACCCAAAAACAGCTAAATCCCTACTTTTCGTTATGCCCTAACTTGCATTGTTGCTCAAAAAGATTCAACAAAAGTTTAAGTTCAGAACTCAAGAGCAATGACTTTAGGATTATGTATCAGGTGTATCTAAGTGGGATATTAAAACACGTGAGAATAATCAGATGGGAGCAAAAGGTTTGAATGCATGAAAAGCAAACTCTCATTTCAGCAGAAACCATTCAAAGGGCTCTCCCTACAGACTGACCAGTTCGACGGATGGCAAGGTCATCTAGCACATATGCTTTGCCAATACAAACTGAATCTCATGCCAAAAGGGATGTTTTTAACATTAGGTTTCTCAAATGCATCTGACCATAAAACACACATAGAGAGTTTCTTAAGATGTTAATTCCTGGGCACTAGCCCAGACCTACTGAATCAAAATCTTCTGAGCATTTTTAATGAGTCTCAAATGAATCCTGTGATGAGGCAAGTTTGGCAAACATTGCACAAATGCCAAATAAAAAATCTATTCATCCAAGCATCCAAACACACTCAGAGTTGAAGATGGAGATGGGAGAAGTAGATCCTTATACAAAACAGGTAGCTTTGCAGAAAGGAAAACTGAAAAAACAGCTTGAATCAAGATCTTTTCTTACTAACAACTGTTTGTTAGAATCATTATAGTTTTCCTGAAAGGGCAATATAATATGGTGGAGGGTGATCATTCTTGTCTTAACCAAAGATATTTTTGTCCACTCTAGGTTCACATATAGATTTCAACCAGGATTTCTTTTGCCTCCAGGTAGATTTTTAACCTAAGGAAGAAATGTAGAAATAATAGTTGTCCCTCGGTATACACAGGAGATTGGTTCTAGGACCCCTTCCCCACCACCATCCCAGTATACCAAAATCCATGCATACTCAAGTGCCTGCAATCGGCCCTGTAGAACCGACCTATATGAAAAGTTGGCCATCCATATACACGGGTTTTGCATCCCAAAAATACTATATTTTCAAAACACTTTTGTTTGAAAAAAGTCCACCTATTAGTGTATCCATGCGATTCCAACACATATTGTTTGTACATTACAAATTTCTATTTAATAATAAATTTATCCCTGTCTTGTTTCATTACTTGATTTGCAATTTAATGTCTGAGAGCCAAATATCCCTTATTTATTTATGCTTATTGTCAGCAAAAGAAGTGAGTTATTTTAAGTGGTCCGTCAACAATATGATCTGATGAATTCCAGGAAGGTATTAATACTTTCTGCCACAAAATATTTCTCCTACTATCTTATTGCCAGTGTTTAAAATTTCAGAATTAGACAGATACCATCCTATGGGGTAGAAAAGTTAGATTAAAATCTGTATTAATTAACCCTTATTGGATATTAAGGGGTAAGTGTGTAACCCTAGAACCTGTAAAAACATTACATTTCAACCCTCTCTTAAAACTTTATCCAATAGAAAAATGCAAACAATTTTCTCCACCAAAAGGAAACAAAGCATCTCCCTGCAGAGTAAAACATACAATAAGCAAAATTTCACAAGCAGCCACTGGGGCCATGTGAGGGCTTTAGTTACCAGGAGACCGGACTGCTGAGAAGAGAAGTTTTGAGTCTCACCCTGTTGCCCCAGCTAGAGTGCAGCAGCAGCATCATAACTCACTGAAACCTCAAACTCCTGGGCTCAAGCAATCCTCCTGCCTCAGCCTTCCAAGTAGCTGGGACTACAGGTGCATGCCACCACACTTGGCTAATTTTTCTATTTTTATAATAGTAGAGACACAGGATCTCGCTCATGCTTAAGCTGGTCTTGAATTCCTGAGCTCAAGGAAGCCTCCTGCCTTGGCCTCCCAAAGTGCTAGGATTACACGCATTAGCCACCACTCCTGGCCAAGAAGAAGAGTTTCTAAAAAGACGTTGGCAGCCTCCACACTCATCCTTGCTGGGAGTTAGCTACTCTCCCAGCAAAACAGGTCCCAGGCAGGATCATCACAAGAGATTTGGAAATAATAGAGACAGAATAATAACAGAGACAGAGACAAAGTGCAGTTTAAAGTGACGGAGAAGTCAGGGGTCCTCCACCATTCCCGTGAGCTATGAGGCACTGAGTGAAATCCCAAATCAGTATTTATTGTTACAGCAAGCAGTTGTCCTTGGTTAAAGAATTATGTGTACAGTTCATTCATTGAGGTTTCAAGGCTCCCCAAAAATTCCAAGGGTCCCTTACCTAATTCTGTCTATAAGAATAGACAGTTATGAAATTTTTCTAAGATAAACATTCTAAGCCCTAAGTTAAGAATAGACTTAGCTGAGCATACAAATTAAAGATAAAAATGTATAAAGTAGGAACACTGAGTCTATATACTAATCTAATATGTTTCTCTAAATACAGAGACGTGGTCAGGAGTGAAGCAGGAATAGCCTTAAAGTTTAAGATAGTTCCAGCTGCACATTGTCTGCTGGGCAGGCATTTCTCAGCCTTGGGCCCAAACTGAGCTCTGCTGTGCAATAAGCTCTAGGCAATGGCTTGCAGTGTCGAAGAAACGTTGCTTTGCAAATGTGTTCTCACATTGCCTCCCTTTGTTGGGAGCAGCTCCTAGTCTGTGAACTAACACACCCAGAGATTCCTTCAAGGCAAAATCCTGCAAAACTCCTGAAACCTTTCATGTCTCTTAGCCTTATTTCCCAACACATCCCCAGGGAAACTTGGCCTCTTCACAACTCTGCCATCCAGAATCAATTTTTAAAATGGGTTATTCATTAATTTCTATATTTACATACAATCCTTCTGAGATCACTTAATATATTTAGTGGTAACAAATTAACAATAAATAAATAAATTTGAGAATCTTGTCCCATACTCAACCCAGACATTGCCAAATTCTTCCAAATTCTCCAGTAACCTTTGGTGGCATTTATGGAACATGGAAAGGGTAGGCATTACATATGTTTTTAACACTTTTTCCAGCAATTGGAAGCACTCATTTTCTCAAATCATTTTCTGCACAATACCTCTAGGAAGTAGGTATTATGATTATCACCATTTACATATTAAGAAGAAATTGAGGCTGGACCCGGTGGCTCATGCCTGTAATCCTAGCACTTTGGGAGGCTGAGGTAGGAGGATAACTTGAGGCCAGGAGTTCAAGACCAGCCTGGGCAACAGTAAGACCCTGTCTCTACAAAAAACAAAAGAAGAAAAAAAAATTACCGTGACATGGTGGCTCATACTTATAGTCCCAGCTACTCAGGAGGCTGAGGCAAGAGGATTACTTGAGCCCAGGAGGGTGATGACCTATGATGACACCACTGCACTCTAGCCCCAGCAACAGAGTGAGACCCTGTCTCAAAAGAAGAAAAAGAAGAAGAGGAAGAAGCAGCTGAGGTTTGGTATAAATAATTTTCCCAAGGAAACATAGGTGGTAAGGAAGGAACAAAAATGAAGGTCTTCATGATTCCTGCGCCCTCACACTTTATAACCTTACTGAATTATTGAGAGAGGGAAACTTGATCTTCCTTCAGACACTAATTTGCTCTGCCTCCTTTATTGTTCATAATACCTTATATTCACAGGAAAGTCACCAATGTACATTGCTTTTTTGTTCTTTGTGTTTTTTATATTTAGATTCCCTCTATCCCCAGCTATATATGCTCAGCTACTGTAATTAATTTTCATATAATAGTCTCTAGACATATCTCCATCTTGGTTTCCTTCCTCTAGGTTCAATCTGAAATAACACTTTCTCTCTTAAAATGTGATCCCCAAGATCCAACATTCCAAACCAATTTATTTTCTTATGCTCCATGAAAGAGTTGCATATGAAAAGTGACCCTCCCCCCAAATGCTGAAGGAGTCAAGAAACCAAAGAATGAAGCAAACAAATCCAGTTTTTTGGTATAGGATGATTTACTAGGGGGACTTATGGACAGAAGCATGGTCTTGGGTGGCCACAAGACAGATAGATCTCTGGCCTCTTCTGGACCATGAAAGTTAAGCACAATACTCATGGAAAAAGTCCTACAGTAGGCATGAGTGAATAAAGGAGTAAGTGACGAATGAATGAGTAAATGAGAAAAGAAGAAAGAGAAGAGAGTGAGGGAAGAAGATATTTACAAACAGACCCATATTTAGCAAAGACTCTACGTATTGCTGCTAAGTGACATGATCTGGGAGCAAACATCATATTAGCTTTGTGACTCATATTGGTGCTGATAAGCCCTGAAATTAGGACACAGTGAGGTCTAATACAAATAAAGAGCTTTGCTTATAAAAGAGACAAGATACCACAAGTTTACTCTTTTTTAACTCTTTGAAAGCAAGTATAAACTCATACAGAAAATGTCAGAAAACTCATGTCTAACGGTAGTAAGTGTGCCTTTGCCAGGTTAGTTTGGCCTCAAAGAAGCTCCGTAGGTGCCTTTTTGGACTGCAGTGAACAGGGAGCTGTAACTGACAGCTTTGGTCAAGCTTGTAGCTTCCTCAATAACAACAGACACCACTACTGAATACCTAGTACATCCTTATTTTATAGATGAGAGGACTGAAGTTCAGGGGCACTGCGTGGTCCAGGCTCATACAGTCTGAAAGAAAAATATTTAAACTCATGTCTAACTCTGAAGACCAAGCTCCTTCTGCTAGTCTAGGCTGCCTTGTTCAGCATTGTCAAAAATCTAAGGAGACTTTATCTAAAGATTGGGCAGGAAAGTAATGATTTTCTATGAATAATGATGATTTATTGTGGTGACTAGATTAGAGGTGAATATTTACTTTCTTTATTTTACCACTCTATGGAAGGGACCATGGTCCTGATAATCTAAGACTAAGTAATTCATTTCAATTAATGCATTCCTACAAGCTTTCCATCTCTTTACATCCACCCTAATTCTGAGTTTAAAAAGCAACTACTATTTACTTGGATTATGCCTTACTCTCTGCATATGCAGAAGCATCTATAGAAGGGTTCTTGAATAGCATTATTTAAATTTTCTTATTCAAGCCTATTTGGTAGTATGCTGATTTCAGAGACATCGAATCACCATACTTGGCTCTTTTTGTGGTTTAATATAAAGAACATCACACACAGTGCTACTTGTAGAGAAAATGATAAACTCAACCACAGCATGCGTGGTCTCGGGTTTTACCAAAGCATATTCGCTAACAATTAGACTCAAGTTTAAGATTTGATTGGTATGTGCCATTCACCCTTATCACTTGAAGAAGGTTGATTTGTGTAAAGCATAAAGTGAAGACAGAGGGATTCAAGTCAAGATGTGAAAACTCCTGGCCCCCAAAAGTACTCATTTTCCTTGGAATTCTGTATTATGTTGTCTGTCCAGTGTGCCAGAGTTTATTGGTTCCTAAAGAGGTACAGGTAAGAGGGCTCCCCTGGGGAAATTTAGGAAAGGAACTGATTGTCACAAAGATTGACATTAAATAGGTAGAGACCTGGGATGCTAAATATAATGTGCCTATAATGTGCTAAATATAAAAAATTGTCCCCACACCCACCAATGCCAATATCACCCGCAATGAGCAACACTGGTAGGCAATAAACAGGTCCCATCACACAGAATGATGGAGTACATAGCCTGCACCTCATCACCTAAACATTACAGTCGTACCATAGCAATAAAAGATAATCACATCACTCAAGGTTAGATGTAAGCAGAAGGGTAGGAAACCAAGGAATTTTCTGAATGCATAATCATCACTAATGACTTTATTTGATCCTTTAGGAAAATGTGGAAGATGGCCGAGCAAGTATCTATCAATCCGTCATCACCAACACCAGCAAAGAAATGTCCTGTTTCAGTGACTTTCCAATGCCTGAAGATTTTCCAAACTTCCTGCACAATTCTAAACTTCTGGAATATTTCAGGATTTTTGCCAAAAATTTTGATCTTTTAAAATATATTCGGTTCCAGGTATTGTATTTTGGGGGTGAAGGGGTTTCTCTACATTAGTTCAGCTCACATTTAAATAGTGAGTGATTCTGATAATGAAAGAAATTGTGAATAAAGTATCCCACTCCAATTCTCTGTCGAAAGATAAGAGCATGATATAAAACCCCAAAAGTAATGTCATTACCCCTGATATTATAGATTGTATTCATTAACCAAAGAGGAAAATCATCTGTTCGAATTAGAAGTTTGA